TTTACACTCTTCTGGTCATTATGGTAGTTGTCTCAGTACTAAACATTTGTTTTTCTACTTATAAAATATTATTTTTTCTCTCTCCTATCAGAGAGTTCAAATAAAATCATCAATTTTCTTCCCCGTTCCAGTAGCACAATATATATATATATATATAGTTTTATTAATTTGACACTACCTGAGACCTTGTTGCTATAAATAATGAGATTGTTCGCTGATCTTCATGAAGAAATGTCAGACTTTTCATATTATCATGAAGCTGATGCCTACCTGTGTCAAACTTGGAAATAGATAATTATCCAGGAATTTGGAATAGAATTAACGTGCACTAGAGCATGTCATGAACATTTCCTCCAGCAAACAAGATGGGTAATTGCTGTTTGAGTACAAAGCAATGAGAAACGTTTCATTCACTTTCTTCAGACAATTTGGAGGGAGCTACTATTTACAGATTAACAAATCACATCATGCCTTCCCAAAAATTGTGTCATTCAATTTGGTGGAGTCAGATGAGCTTGAGTGCAGTACTTCTTATTTCACACTTTTTAGATCTGATCAAACAGATTGTTTCTACCCTGTCACTGTAAGACTAAAAGCTGGCAGTGTGGATGTTTAGATACAAGACAGCCTCATCACAGGTTAAAGCTATCATCAACCATTGCATTACAAATGGATCCTTGAAATCATTTGTTCTCGTTGCTCTACACCCTTCCTAAAGATTTAAATAAAAAACTTAGCTATTCTTAATATGTTGCAGTAATTTTCATATCTGTTGGAGAAGAGGAAGTATAAGAAGTACCTACCAACTTGCAAAACCAATATTTATTATTTTGAAGATTTTCATATAAAATGTATGTGTATACAATAGTTTGCAAAATGTAAGTCAGGTAAGTCAAGTAAGGATTGGGTGAGATAAATTCCAAAATTCATCAGGTCTAAAATTGTGCTCTTAAAAAAACCTATCTCCTGTTTAGTCAGGTATTTCCAGGAAATACCCAAAGGACCTGTAAAGAACAGCCAATCTTTACTGTAGCTTTTTATGACCTCCTGTTCTCTAATTTTGTTGGGACTGAGAGCTTTTATATTTTGCAACCATTGGAAATTCCTTTAGTTGGGAATTTCAATCTTATCCAAGTTTGATAAAGTTTCTAATTTATTCCCTAAATATGTGCTATTCAGAGATATACAGAGATATACTAATTTATTTCACCACAGAAATAAATTAGTTATATCAGTATTCTTGTCTTTTCTACATGACGAAGCCTATACAGTACTCCTATGACATAGTCATGGAGGAACTCACATCCATACTCCAGATAATTCATATTCATGACTCCCAAAAGCAGAAAGAGTATTTATATTGTTATGTTATCTTATGTTATCTTATGTTATCTTATGTTATTCTTTTTTTTAATGAAGTGATTAGTTCAAAATTAGTTCCACATTTTTCACTGAGTTACATTTTTTTTATTGTTTTGCTGCTATTATGTAGAGCCACACTTTTCTTTTGAAAACAATAATATTGTTTGCTACCTCCCAGGTTCATTGTTCTTCATTAGCTGATAGGTTTCATGGTTTTGGTATTGATTTTAAAATATAGTTATATTTTTAAAATGTATTGATCTTTTTAGCACTTTATTAACAATTTACAGACACTAAACCAAACAGGGAAATAGTGGAACAACTTCATATTATTTTTTTTTATCTTCTCCCTCATTTTACATTTCTACTGTAGTGAGAATAACAGGCTAGTTCTATTGGGGTGTCCAATAAGTATTAAAGAATATTTTGTTGAATCTTTGCTAAATTTTAAGATTATAATAATAATAATAATGATAAAGTTGGAAGGGACCTTGGAAGTCATCTAGTCCAACCCCTGCTCAGGCAGGAAACCCTATACCATTTCTGGCAAATGGCTGTCCAGTTTTTTCTTAAAAACTTTCAGTGTTGGTGCATTCACCGCTTCTGGACGCAGGTTGTTCCACTGGTTAATTGTTCTAACTGTCAGGAAGTTTCTCCTTAGTTATAGGTTGCTTCTCTCCTTGATTAGTTTCCATCTGTTGCTTCTTGTCCTGCCTTCAGGCGCTTTGGAAAATAACTTGACTCCCTCTTCTTTGTGGCAGCCCCTGAGGTGTTGGAAAACTGCTATCATGGTTAAACTAGACATATCCAATTCCAGCAACCGTTCGTTATATGTTTTAGCCTCCAGTCCCTAATCATCTTTGTTGGTCTTCTCTGTACTCTTTCTAGAGTCTCAACATCTTTTTTACATCGTGGTGATCAAAACTGGATGCAGTATTCCAAGTGTGGCCTTACCAAGGCATTGTAAAGTGGTATTAATACTTCACATGATCTTGATTCTATCTTGATTATAATGGATATATTTAATATTTTGTTAGACAATTGGCCTTGGTTTTTTAATATGGGTTATTCCAACTTGCAAATAAAAAGTATCATTAAAGTAAATATTAAAAGTTTATTAGAAAATACTGTTGACTGTATGCATATTATTGAAAACACATTTCATTATTTATAATAATTTAGGAGACTTTAACCAGCTTGAAGGTTACCAAAGCAATTACTCTATATAAGTCAGGTTTCCACTCTTAAAGCATGATTCACAGTATTAAGTATGATCCTTTTTAAACAAGTATGATACACAAATGAAGATAGTATGATACAATAGAAAGAACATTGGACACTCTATGGAGTTGAATTCAAATTCTTACTTGGTTTCTTTTTAATGAAAAGATCATCTATTATCTTGTGGTTAAATCTGTTAAGGGATATCGCATTAGAATGTATTTTTATTTCTAGTGGGTGAGACTATAACATTTAGTAACTGAAATTATTTAGTAACAAAATTATCTCTTTAGTAATTTTGTAAGGTCATAAACCAAGTCTAAATAGTTGTACAATAAAAGAAAATTCACTTATTTCTTCAATATACCGTGTAGAATTCTATGACTGCCTATCCTTACATCTGAATTGAACCTAGATCTGTTTATCCAACCAGGGGTAATCAGCATATGGAGGTTTTGCATAGCAGATTAATTCCTGCACAGCTTGCTTGGCTTTTTAAGTACTAAAACACCAAGTAAAAAATTGCAATGGAAAAAAAATCTTGATGTTCAATGGCATGAAAATGCAAGTATTCAATCCAATTGGAATTACCTTTTTTAAGATAAGAAGAAAGCTCTCAAAGTTCATTCACAAATTCAGAATAACCCTTAAGAAGGCATCTTAAAAAGCTATTCAGCACTTGTGAAATCGCTCCCTTCAAATACAAAAAAAAAAAAAAACAGGGATTGATTATTAAAGAATTAGATCACTGGAGTCATATAAGAAGGAGATTTTCTGCTTCAGTTGGAGATGGGATTAATTATTTTTGCAGATCATTCTGACTTTATGATCTTACAGTTAAAAGACATCAGAAATCTGAGAGACAACTAAGCAAGTATTCATCATGTACAGAATGTTACCAAAAGCAGTTTTTTTCAGCCATGTCTGCATGACATCAGGCTTTTAAACAATGAATGGCAGCTATGAGAACATCAAACTACTTGTTTAAAAATAAAATTAACTATCGTATTTTGTCTTATTAGCACATATCATGCTTCTGCCACCCATAAATGAAATAATCTGTAAAAAGTGTGACACTGGGTGAACTTTTTTTTAAAATAGAGATGAATAACCATTCAATTTTTCTCCAAGAGAAAGGGACATTTGTTGAGGATGAACACTTTTGTTACCTTCCATAAAAGATTCATTGAATGATGCACAGTGCAAATATATACAACAGATTCCGCCTGTCTCAAATCATGCCAACTATCTCTGCTGTATAAACAGAAATTCATTATTCACTTTTTTAGAGGCCACCACTATAGCATTCTTCAGAGAGTTTCTTATATGGATGGTGGGATATATTAGTTGACTTGTTAAAAACAGGGAATTCGACTGCAGAAGTTAGTAGCAAGAATCTTTTTGGAAGACGATGGAGAAAAAAATGTTAAAAATAGTATTTTTGATGCAGCAACTGATAAAACAGAAGCAATGCTTTCATATCACTAACTGGATACTTAAGAGTAGGATTACCAGATAACTGAATAGGGAAAAGACATGAACAATTGGAAAAAAGAGGGAAAAAAGACATATTAACTATTTTACTTTACAGTGTTAGAGTAAATTGCAGTTAAAAAAACTGAAAAAAGGAAACCAGAAGTTTCCTTCAAACTTAAGTGTTTATTCAGCTGAATAGAGACGGACTCCTCTAAATGACAGAAACCCCAAATGACAAGAAATACTTGTATTTATTCTTTCTGATTACATAAGCAACATCCAGCAAAGTTGACACACATAAGATAATGATTTCACCCAGTAAGTCTGGCACACTGTAGATAAGAAGGGAGAAAGCAGAAGTAGCTAAACATGTTCCCTTTGATTTTAAGACCATGCCTGCTGACATGAGGTCACAAATGAGGATACATCCTCCTTTTGCCAGAAGCCTGGTAAACAAGTAGTTTGTTAAGGGACTACCACCCTCAAGACCTGAGCACAATAGCAATTTCCCATTTGTATTTCCCACCAAGTATTATTAAGAGATATAGAGCCTCAGTTACTGGAGGTAATATATGTCCAATATGAATGAAAAACTTGTAAATAACTAAAGATAGGAAATATTGATAGCCAACTGAAATGTTCTGGAACCAGTGGCATTGAAAATAAAATTTAATAGTTGTAAAAGAAACAACAAAGCTAAAAAGACTGTTTTTAGAAGACACAACAATATATGCAGAAGTATGTCTAATAAAATGCCTTGAGTTTCAATAATAAACTCATTAGTAATGCTCTGTCTTCCATTTAGTAGTTTATATTGCTTTTAATGAATTTATATTAAACTGCTGATTCTGACTTCATTGGCAAACTGAGCAATGATAAAAACAGTGTTACATTTTTTCCCCTAGAAATCTGAATACTTTTACTAATGTTTTGCATTGTAGCTGGCAGCCCATACAACAAGTGTACAGTCTGAAAGTTGGATTGACAGGGAAGGCAGCAGTGGGAATGGAATGAGTAAAGAGACAGAATCAAGTGGAGACTGTGATGATGAAGATGGATGCCAAGGATCAGGTGATAAAAGCTACACAAAAGGTAGAGCTACTAATTTTGCTTATATGCATTATAAAAGTTCATTTGTTGAAACTAGCTATTAGTTTTAGATCAAGATCACAAGAATTGGTTAAATACATTCAAGATGAGAAATATCAATTCTCCCTGTTTGTGTCTTTCCTAAGCCTAAGAAAATTCTTGTAACTTTAAAGGTTTAATTTTAGATGTAACAACTGCCAGTAAGACCATTTTGATTTAACAACTTTGAAATTTGTGGCTCAACAACCTTTGCTACTAATTTTATAAATTTGAATGCTGTGAGGCAAATATGTAGAGTACCCAAAGCTATTGTCACTATCAGTATTTAGAATGTTTTAAATTTACTGTAAGATTGTCCTTCCATTATCATTTTTGGTGTTCTTCCTTGGAAAGATATGATCCCTTTTTTTTCTCTTTTTTGAAATATGAATAGTTTAAGGTAAGCTTGAACTAAATTTTTTTGTTGCTTTCTAGAATCAGAATTCTATGACAGCAAGTTCTTAATTTTAACTATGGATGCAGTTAAATAATATTTAATTAAAACAATTTTTTAGTGTTAATGTTTACTACAACAACTCTTGTACAATTTTCATTTCCCTTTGTTCAGCAGGATTTGTTTTTAATTTAATAAATGCTTTAAGTAAATTGTTTGCATTTCAAATTAGTCCTAATTAAACTGCAGCCAGGTGCTGCACTAGAATTTTTAGTTGTTATACTATCAATGCAAATACTGTGTTTTTGTTTGGATTTTGTTTTAGTCATCCAATAATGTGAAAGAAAGCATTTTAAATTTGGCTTACTAACAGACAAATAACAGAGTTTGAAAGTAGTCCTTGCTTTCCCTATGATAATGTTATGGATTTGGGAAAAGTGATGTGGAATAGAAAGAAAGAATAATGTTTTTGTAGAAATTATGTCCATCAAAATATAGTCCAAATAAATAATAGTGAATAGTCTAGTCTCATTAAAATTCCTTCGTGATAGCAGCATAACGAATTTTATCATTAAAATATTTACTATTTTAAATTATTAATACAAGTAATGATATATTTAAATAACTGAGGTTACTTGTGCATTTGTTTTGTGTATTTAAATTTAATTGCATGAACTTCATTTAAAGAATAGCAAGATTTTTCAGAATTATAATCATTCTTTCTGTGTAGGAAGATAGCTATGTTGTCTGTGATGCTACAAGATTTTTGAAATAATTATTTTACTTATTAGATATTTAGGTATTATGTATAAATTTTGTACAATGAAATAAATCTTAATTGTTTCAGTTAGGTTCAATATATGTATTTTGCCATTTAGACACATCAGAATCTTTGTTCAAGAATGAAAAAGATGTTTTTTGTGCTATAATTTTTCTATACTTCTGTGCAATTTCTTTTCTTAAACTGTAGCAACAACTGTGGTAATAATTATTAATGTAGATGTTTTAAAAGGATCTGAATAAAAACATGGAGATTCAGGTAGTGGTCTTGGTGATAATCATCAAGACTACTGGTCTTGATGATTATAGGAAGAATACTTTAAATACAAGGGAGCAATAAAAAACTGAAATTACCATCCATTCCATGTCTGTGACCTCTCTCAATGCCTAGCTATTGTGTGACACTAAATGCTTTGTGTGTGGAGGCTTCCACACTGAATCCTATACTCAATCTAGTCCAGGGCTCTTTTTATGTTCTTACATAATTGCAATTCTATCATTGTCTATTTTTTTTAAAAAAAAGTAAGAATAATATCTGTTTCTATGCCACTTTAGACTTTATTGGTGATAACCAGCACCTTAGGACAGCTCAGAAATACACTGGAAGTTACTGCAGCTAGCAGACTGATAATATGATATCGGTATTACAGGACATGCCAAAACCTGTCTACATTGCTGTGTTCTGAACTAGTAATAATAATGAGAGGCAACTGAGATGTGAGTCAGCAAGGCCTCCCATCCAGAACTGGCACAATTAGTATACAAGATAAACTGTGCAAAAGTCTTCATAACCATGATTGCCACCTGGTCTTCAAGCAGGAGTCATGGAAAAGTTAAGGGTGGAAAACCTGATTGACATTAAAGCCCACTGTCACCTGGTCTTGCCACAATTGATCCAAAGGCTATTCTTCCCCGTCCATAGTCTTGGTAGGGAAAGACTCACCCGGTTAGTCTAGAGCAGAGAAATATAGTTGGTTATTACCAGCATTCTGATGATATCATACACCATGTTAACATAAACACACAACTACTACATAGAAATATGATTTTCTATTCTGGCAATAACAATTATGCAACATGTTACAACATTCCTATTTAACATTTCAACCAGCAAGTCATGATTTCTCCCGAGATATTCAATTCTTTTTTCTCTGAGGATGGTGTGGTTTTGGCTACACAATGATACATGTTCAGAGGATAAGTTTGCCATTGGCATACACATCCTCCTTTAATATGCAAATGGATGGCTTTTAAAAATGATGTTCTTGATATTATCCTGCCTCACTTATGTCACATCTTAATAGCTATTAAAAATTAATACATTTATGTCACTGTTCAGTCATTATCAATCTTTTTTCCCATGTCAGAGACCTTTTAGCCCTCATTATTATGATTGTCTCTTTTCATCAACAATATAGGCATAAACTGCCATCTTAATCAGTCTTCAGTCCCAGGTGCCATATTCTCAGGTTGCACCAAGATGTTATGCCTCTAAATGTATAATTGTACAACTGGTGTTTTTTGTAACAATTATTTCATCAATATTCAACGAGCATAACATCTGTTGGCAGTTTGCCATGGATATCACTGGATTGTCATCTCAACAGCTCCCAACCTCCTTCTCATATTCATAATTTTCTCTTCTTCTATAATTAGAAAACAGTTTCATTTTTCTGAAAATCCAGTTTTTTTATTTGTTTTTGTTTGGGGGGGGATTTCCTGTATATCACAAGATAAGTTATTTTTAACTGGTACTCTTTATAATCTTTACAAATGGTTTCAGTGTCATGCTGCTGTCAATGGTTTATTCTGTTCAAGGAAAGCCTAATAGTCTATGGTTTAACCTCTTACCCACCCCAGACACTACCCTCAGTGGAACTCCTCTAATGATGATTTAATTGCTTAATTGGTCCCGTTACTAACACAGTGGGTTTGTACTTTCCTCACAGTTTATTAGAACACAGGAATCCTGGCAGAGTCATTCTTTGAATGGCACACAAATTAAGAGTGAAGGAAATGCTACATGCAACAAGACAGAGGATTTAGATTATCCTAAACTAATAGTTTCATCTTTAGGCCACATTGTTAGCTAATTGATTTCACACTAGCTCTTTTGAGGAATTATTGCCTGAACCCAAGTAGGAGGGACTGAATTGCACTTGAAGGCCTCCTTCATTGTCTTTGCAGATGCTGTCCCCATTCTGAACTGCTTCACATTGAACAAGCAAGGCCCCAAAGGGCTGTTAAACATTTTCAACCAAGCATGTTTAGAATCCTCCTAAATTATTAGGAACTTTAATGAGCCAAGCATGCTTCCAACATTTCTCTCCAAATCTTCACACTCAGTAATGTTAGAGACAGAGCCAACAAGTCTGGAAATAATTTAGTGGAACTCATATGTATGGTCCCACTCGTGCATTCAACATTTCTACCACTTCTGCTCAGAAAATGTGTAATTTAGAAATGCAACCTCATCCAATCCTGTAGCTGTTACAGAATAAATCACAGCAGCTGTGGCAACAGCATCCTATATGGGATATTGTATGTTAAATGAACACGGGATATGTTGGATACTTAAAAGATTGTCATTCAGCCCATGTGAAAGACATCTGAATATACTTCATATAAACAAATTTCCATGCAGAAGTGCAAATTGAGGTCAATATGCTTTTTCTATAAGAGATAACAATGGGACAGGGATTGGACCAAGTACAATACATGCAGTTTTGATTTTCTAATATATAATCTATGCACAGGAACTGCTGCTTATATACTTATTTTGACTGAAACAAATTTTCAATAGCATCCAACACTGTTATTTTGGCACCAAGCTACATAGGGTTTCAGGAGTTAAAACCAGCATTTTCAATTACAGGCAGCCAATTCAGGGCTTGCAGTATAGACACATATGTTCATGGGACTTAACTAGTGTCAATTAGCATGCAAATCACTACATTTTTGTACAACTACAATTTTTTAAATTATTGTTTGTACATTAAGTTTCTCAGTCAACTCTAGTATTGCAGTCTTGAAAGGATGGATTGTCCTTACAGAACAGATCTCTAACCTATAGGTGCTCTTAGGTGGTACTAGATTCCAGCTACTGCTGGATAAGTATGCTGGATATGCAAGTAAAAACTGTACCCTTTTTATAATCTACAAGTTACAAATCTACCGAAGGACCTAAAAAATCATGTTTGCATAATCATATAGTATGTATGGATTACTGCAAACTGTTTCACATAAAGCTCTCTTTAAAATCATTTCAAAAATTATCCAAATTGTCCAATAGTCCCTTACTTCTAATATGCTCTGTTGCTATCTTATCATCATAGTCTCAAGAAACATATCTAAAAATAATAGTTATCTCACACAGTTGTTTCCAGGGGGATTTTCTTAAGATATGGGGGGGGGGCACTGTAGCTGCTTTTAAGGCAGCAGGAAAATATTGTTTACTTCAGGACCCAGCCTACAAGTGGCAGGAGATAAACTAGAAATTATCCTATCAATTTTATCTGAATCAACAGGCTAGAAGAAGTCTCTGATACTGTGGCAAGATTATCACCCAGTCTTCGTCTCATGGAGCTAAAATGTTATGCCTGCCAAATTCATATCACTCAACAATTTTTCCGAAACAAAAATATCTAGGGCTCCAATATGTACCATCTGGGATGAGCCCATTTTCATCATAGAGATCATGCACTCTTAACCCCCAGAACCTAAGACATGGAGGTTGATGTTACTGAAGTCACCAACATAAAAAGGTGAGGAGACTTGGTCAAGGACCTCA